CCGACCCTATGCTGAAATTTCATGTTACCGGAAACACACTATATTTTTTGTTTGGCCTTACGACTAAGAGGCTATTTGTGATGAATGTAAAAAATAGATTAGCAACATGTCAGTCAGCACAACTTCAGTTGGTCATGCGGACCCCTCATCAAAGTCACATAACAGCATTCACAGATTTTGGACCTCGGGGCATACACAAGGCGACTGGCATCATTAAGCACCCCGTCCATTTTGGAGAAAATTTAAACTTTGATGTGCATTTTATGGTCGTGAAAATACGGTAATTGGACCCACAGTTGATTCACACCAAGCCGCTTGCCTAAAGCAGATTCAGTCTTCCCAGCTTGGTGCAGGTCTATGATGTTGTGTCTGGTGACCTTTTGGCAGGTCTCTCTTTTTGGCCAAAGTGGAGTTTAGAGTGTGACTGTTTGAGGTTGTGTGCAGGCGACTATTATACTGATAAACAAGTTCAAACAGGTCTCATTGATAGGTAACGGTTGGTGGCAGCCATTTTGCCACCTGCTGTCGACTGAAAATGACATCACAATTACTCAGGGCTCAGGGGTAACAACTAATCATGGATCTGCTTGTGAGGATGTAATGACAAAATTCAGAAAACAGGCCTAGGGCCACCCGTCCCTATACACACAGCGCGTAAGGCACCATGGGGGAGGGGGCGCACAAGATCATTGACTGGGAACGCTCCGACATGCTCTTGATATGTCCATCCTCTCCCCGTCCGATCGATGTCGCCCAAGGATTGGTCAAAAGTTGACAGCCCAGGCAAGAACAATAACAAATTAAGAAAAACATATTTAAGCATCTAAAACAGGCATCCAGTCAAGTGCGTGAAATGCCAAAGCTTTTTGAAAGTAACAACAACGCAACCAACAAACTCCCATTAAAAAGCAGCTTACTGTGGAGTCATTCACACAAGGAAGCACTATGATAAGAAACGGCCACGGCAGAGAGCAATCACCGAAGCGGTTACGTTGCACATTGCGAAAGATATGGTACCCATATACAGTGGAGAAGACTGGGTTTCTCCACTTGCTGAAAACGGAAGACCCCAGGTATGTGCTACCTAGCTGCAACTACTGTATATTGCTGAAATTTCCTTACCTCAGTTTTACAACTGTACTCGTGACAAAATCAGCAGAGTTGGAAGGAATGAAAAGTACAGACCTCAGGTCACACACTTTAGCCGAAATGTGATTTATTGCTCTACGATGCAATATAATGTATACTATGGGTATTATTAAATGTTTGGAGCACAATTGTTTAACATGTTTGACATCTTCTCCCCATATCCTGCTCACTTCAGGTCCGGAGAAGAAGTCACTGCCTTTCAAGGATGCCTTAAGTCAGCTACTCGATGAAGAGTTTGAGTCAGAGGTGGAGTTGGCTCAAAAGTTGTCGACATCTCCCCCTCAATTGCTGCATCCAACCTACAACCTCACACCACGCGGGAAGATGCATACAACACCTGCCAACTCAGATTCTATCTCTCTGAAGCCCTCGCTTGTCATCATGAACAAACTGTCTGTCTATGACATGGACATTGAATCGCAAACCAGAGCTGTTTCATCCTTGTGAGTCAGTCGTTCTATCATATTTGTATTTTATATTTGTATTTCGGTTTTTCACTAATTGCGGCAGGATCCCGCTCCTCCCCTCAAACCAAACAATGACGTTATAACACAAAACCGCTAATGGGCTGGCGTTTATGGAACAAAACGCAGAGCTCTCAAATGTTACAGAATGATTGAGTGAACGCTTGTTACACGCGTCACGCAACGAGATTGTTCCGAATATTAAAAAAAAAAAAAAAAAGAGCCGGCACTGCTGAGACCTTGTTTTATTTTCCCGGTGCTCCCTCTATATATAATAATTGTGTGTGTGTGTGTGTGTGTGTGTGTGTGTGTGTGTGTGTGTGTGTTTGTTTTTATAATATGTTCACTTTTTTGGGTGGATTTCATAAGGACTGAAGTGGACAGTGAGAGCTCTCTAGTCCCGCTAGCTGCCCCAAAACCAAGAACCTCAAAAAGGAAGTCCGCTCAACTAGTGTCCTCTCGGATCAAAAAACAGCTGTGAGTGCAAAAATGAACACTGTTCCGATTTGCAACAGAAATTCTTTAAATATTCAACTTCCTGTCTATGTCATTAGAAATCTTCTGGATGAACAGCAAAACCTGGACTCAGACACAGAAGACGAGCAAGAGTTTGTTCCATCCAATAAGGCGCTGTCTAGTAGTAGTGACGATGATGAAATGATTCATGGTGATGAAAGCGTACAAGTAAAGAAAGGTCGACGGTGTACCGCTGGGACTCTCGTGCCTCGTTCAAAGAAAAACCTGTCGACCACCAGGACATGTCGTAAAACACCAAACAAGAAGGTAAAATAGTATTAAATATACATTTAGTTGGAAATGTGTTGGTAAAATGTTTTCACAGGCTCCTTCACTCATTTCCACTGATCATTTACACAGGGAGCGGCCAATACATCACATACTCCTCGCCTTGGCACCCCCACTATCCCCAGCAGGTTGATCCCAGCCCGCCACCCTGTCAACATATTAGAAGTGGCCAGAACAAGGTAAAAATCTCCTTCCTCGATAAACTGTGACTCCTCAGGCCTCTTTGTTCTTTCTCACTCTGTCGGCGATCCTTTTTTTTTTTTTTTAATGACTTTTGGACAAATTGTACTAATCAGTGAATTTCGTTTCTTTGTCGTTGTGTTTGTGCAGTGACAATTACGACATTATGTTGAATTAAAAAAAACAAAACTAAAAAAAAAACCCACCAGATTTTTGCAGAGATTTATAAAATCCTAATTACCGTATTTTCACGACTATAAGGCGCCATTAAAAGTCTTAAATTTTCTCCAAAATGGACAGGACGCCTTATAATGCGGTGCGTGTTATGTATGCGCCGAGTTCCAAAACCTGACTGAGAGCGCCTGTGTTTATATAGAGAAAAGGTGGACGTGAGTGACGACAGGCATGCGGAAGTCGGCCAATGAGTGAAGGGTGGGCGTGTAAGAGGACGCTAAAGGCACGTCCCTAGCAGGTACCAGTGGTATGTTTTAGCGTGCATGCATGCTACCGTATGCTTCAAGCGAACGCGTTTTTAGCTTGCGTGCATGCATGCCGTATGTTTAAGCTGGCGTATGTTTTACCATGCCTGGCTGCGCCCAATAATACAGTGCATTTTGTGTATGTGTCAAATACAAAAATAGCACCCGTTACTGAGACTGCGCCCAACAATACGGTGCGCCGAATGGTCGTGAAAATACGGTACCTACAAAGGCAATCATGACACATTTCCATAGGGTGACAGCATGAAGACAATAGCCTGAGAAAACCATATACAGTGGTACCTCTACTTACGAAATTAATTGGTTCTGGAAGAAATTTCTTAACTAGAAAATCTAAGTAGACGCGTTTTCCATGTAAATGCCTTAATTTGTTCAAAGCCCCCCCAAAATTCATACATAAATGTTTTCTAATGCATAAAAACGCATAAAAATATATCACAAATACATGTGACAATTAGATTATTGCACAATAAATGAGAGTTGTGCATAATGTAAAAAACGAAGAATAAAGAATAAAAATCATGGTCATTTAACTTTTTTTCGGGGGTTTTTGCCCTCTTTAGTTCATGCCCTCTCTCAGAAGTGTTTTTTGCCTGCCGTTTGGAAAGAACTGATCCAAGGACGTTTGCTTTTGTCGGCTTTAAACAAATGTCCAAGGCAAACATCAGCATAGTGAGCGATCGCCTGACTGGTGAACACGTTTTCTGGGTGATGCACATTTACGTAAAAACGAACGGAACACCTCATGGCCCCCGGGCCGAATGACGAGGACGCTGCATAGACACATACCTATCTATTTAGCTATCTACACACATGGTAGAGGTCCCTCTTCGCCAATGGGATGCCAGGAGATGCTCGGTAATAGCCAATGGCAGAGCAGCTATAAGTATGTTGCGTTCAGGAAACTCGGAGCAGCTAGTAGCAGCCCATCCTGTATTTTTACCTTTCGTATCTTGAAATTTCTTTCGGACCAAGAGGCAGTATTTTCCTGTTAAGGTGTTTCGTAACTTGAAATTTCATATGAAGAGACGTTCGTAAGTAGAGGTACCACTGTATCAGGGATATACAATTCATTTTCCAAAGGGGCCGTGTCTTATGAATTGGAAGGGTTGTTGAGGGCCATGCCTTCCTGTTATCCTCAATTTTGTTGCACAACAATGTCATGTCGATCCATCCTTTGGGTTCCGTGGTTGTTGCGAGGAAGGGATCCTTTTCCATGCGGTGTGATTTTCACAACAGCAACTATTCCAAATCTGGATGTTAAACGCTTTGAATACATTTCATCTTATGTTTTCTCCAGTATTTGGCAAAACCCTTTGCCCTTTGAACCTTTTATTATGTAATTTTGTAATATTGGTTCGTAAAATGCCAGATGGCAAAAAGGCTTACCTTGAGTAAAGGATATCTATTAAAAAGAACTCCACACAAATGTAACTTTATTATTATTTATCTTGTTTAGGTTACACGTGTCATCGGTGCCTGAGTCTCTACCCTGCAGGGAGCAAGAGTTTCAAGACATTTACAGTTTTGTGGAGACCAAAATCATTGATGGCACAGGAGGGTGAGATGACAATCACTTATCGAGCTTTTAATAGGAACAGCAGTAAATGACTTGCTAACCTCTTTGGTTCAAAGAACCTACACTAGAACAGCTGTTTGCTTTTTAACCAGGACACAGCAAAGACAGCACTTACTTGCCAGCAAGTCACGTTTATTTGGATCGCCGTTAGTCACAAAAGAGTCTCAAATGGCTTCAGTTGACAAATATTAGCAGATTCACCAGGCAAGGAAAAACGCAAAACCCCATATGGGTGAGAAAAAAACAACAAAAAAAAAAAAACCATGAGAAGGAACCACAGATGAGATACCCCCCTCCCCCTCCTTCCAAGATGACCATGCTGCAGTGGATGCTGAGTGGGTAACATAATGTGGTGCTTTACGATGTCACCCAGGACGTGTGAGTCCTTTCAATAAGGTGACACACCGCAGGAAGACTCCTTCGTGGAATTGGTTCCTCCTCAAGACCTGACCTAGTTGGTTGATGGGGAATTCTCCATTGTAACGCCTCAACATCAGATTCAGTCATAGTTACCTAGCCCCTTGTCCAAGCAGGAGAGGAGGGGTCAAGAGAGAGGAGAAGCAAATTTAAAACAATAAACCTAAGTCTGAAGTCGAGATGTTTGCATTTCTACTGAGGTAGCAACTCTAATTTCTGCAAGTTGGGCATTCCAGAGTATTGGAGCCCAAATCGAGAATGAGTTTCTAGCCTGCACGCTTCTTTTTGGCTCTCTGAATCATCAAAAGACCAGCGTGTTGACCAGTGGCAGAGAATGTACGGTGTCACTAAGTCAGCAAGATAGGAAGGTGCTAAGCCGTCTAATATTATATGAGTAAGTAACAAAGCCTTAAAATAGCATCTCAAGTGGATTGGAAGCCAGTGCAAGCACCCCATATTGCTGTAATATGAGCTTTGAACTTTGTTTTGTCCTCGCCAGGAGTCATGCTGCAGCATTTTGCAATACTGTAACTGCAGGCTTTTAATACTAGACATGGGAAGACCAGAAAGCAACATGTGACAGTACACTGAGGCGAGATGTAACAATCCATGAATTGTGCGCTGGGTGTCATAGATAGAATGGGAAGGATTTTGCGGAGCGATATTGCAGGGATCTAAGCGAGAGAGTTGAGTCAAATATAATGCAGAGATGTTTTTACGGCTCTACACGGTGCGTCTTCTCTGAGGGGGTGCTCACTCGGCAACTTTGCTGCGGTGCAGCGCCCGGGCTGCCCCAGTAGAGCTTTCACACGTACAAAGTTACACCAGTGTAGCCCCTGAAAACAGCTTAAACCGGAGCAAATTTAACCCTGCTCTAGGAGGTGGTTTAAAAATTTGCTCCGGAGCAAATGCTCGTTTGCGGGGCAGCACCGATGTAAAATGGTACGTGTGAACCCGACATGCATAGATGGCAATTTTCCGCGGATCCGCGGAAATCCGCCATTTTATTTCTTAAATTGATCATTTTTGTGAATCGTCTAAATCCGTTGAGAAAATTTTAGGGGCGGTCAGGTACCTTATCGTCGAGTTTTCATGAGCTCTCCCGAACAGTCTCTCCGTTTTCCGTTTGTAAACAGCCCTGCGATTGGACGTGTATGAAAGCTTCAACTAATCAGATCACTGAAGGCATTATTTGTTGCGGAAGTCTTAGCTCGATTATATACGGCCCAGCAATTGGTTAACTACAAGTGCTTGGACCAATCAAATTGCATGTAACATATTGTTTTACAAGATTCATGGCGGCCTGTTCGTCTCGCAAATTCATTGTTCTGGGATCGTTTTGAGCGGAATTATGAAATTTTTGACGAAAGATCAGGAGTCTTTAATCCTAGAAATTGACTCAAATGTCAAGAATAAATTCCGATTGGACTGGCTTGACAGAAAAGTCACTGTAAAGGTTAAAATTGGTTCCAAGTTCGACGAAGTTACAGAAGCTCTTGGACAATAAGCTTTGACGTAGCAGGCAAAGCTTATTGTGTGTATTGTAGTGACTTAATTAAC